AGGTCAGAATGTTACAAGCCGCGCTCAAGAGGAGAGCGGTATAGGTACGTTGTTAGTTATGAATGCATGTTAGAAAACGTTGTTGGATGAATGCTGCACTCAAGTAAACTTATCACTTAATATTAGTTGCCGCAACCAACATGCACAAATGTCACCCACGAACCCCTGAAGAAGACGAGTTGGGTGACGATGCACTGCCAGCATTCGACACGTACAGCGGTGTGCAGAGGTGCACCTATAATACAGTTGAAGCAGCAGAGGAAGCCTGCACATCTGCCTTTGCAGAGTCCTGCTGGTATGCCTGCTGCTGCTGCAAACGCAAGCTGTTCAGGCAATCAGTTGTGGAGGTCACGGAAAACATGTATGACACACTCAACGAGGAGTGGGCTACCAATCTAGCGGGCTGGGTAACACGGTGCGGTGTGGGCTACATATGCCACACATGCCTTGGCAGCATTCGTAGGGACCGGTGCCCAAGGTTTTCATTACACAACGGGCTTGAACCTCCAGAGGTTCCACCTGAGCTGCTATGCATTCCCGAGCTTGCAGAACGGTTGATTGCTATACGCATACCATTCCTGCAGTTACGGAAACTTCCAACTGGAAACCAACATGGACTAAAAGGTATGGATGGCATAGCCTACCATTGAAAGCGGTCCAATTCGATTCCCTTTTCTGCGCAAGCCTTCCCACCGCCCTGTCCTCCCCACCCCTTGCTTCCTCTTGCCTTACCTCCCCTCGCTTTCCTTTCACCGCCGTCGCTGTCCTTGCTTTCCTACCCCATCCCCTGCCCACTCCCTCCCTCAGCTTCCATGCTTTTATCGTTCTCCCCCCGCAACACCCCTTGCCAATTCATCCCGTCCCCATCCCTGTGCTTCCATCCCTTTGCCCCTTCTGCCCTAACGACTCTTCCCTTTCATCCCGTTGCCTTCACTTCCATCCCCGTCCCTCCCCTGCCAAACCTTGGCTCCCAAACTCCCCCTACCATCATCTCACCTCCTTGTCCAACCCAACACATGCCTTGCATCCCCAATCCTCAAATTGCTTCCCTGTCTCTCCCCATGCCTTCCCATGTCACACATACCACATTCCACTTTTGTGTCCTGTTCCTACCATTCTCTCCAAAGCGCAGCAGTGTGAAACCTTGCTCCCCCCCATTCCTGTAGGCTCCGTCGTAAGTGTCCCCGCCGATTTAACCCGTGTCCAGCAATTGCTACCTCGGCACTTTGATGACAGCGAAACTGTGCTTGTGGGCCTGCAGCGCAAGCTGCAGTACAAACAGTCGTACATGAGCCAAGTAATCCGGCCTCAGGCAGTCCTCAGTGCCCTGCGGTACCTGAAGCAGCAGTCGAAGCCTGCAGATCTGCCTTTGCTGAGTCCTGCTCGTATGCAGGACTCTCCCTACCATCCCCTCTCCTCCTTGTCGAACCCAACACACCCCTTGCCTTCCCGATCCTCCAATTGCTTCCCTGCCTCTTCGCATGCCACACATACCCACATTCCACTCCTGTGTCATGCTCCCACCCTTCTCTCCCATGCCCAGCAGTATAAAACCTTGCTCCCCCCTCCCTCATTCCCTTAGGCTCCGTCGTAAATGTCCCCGCGTTTGTGTTGAAGTAATAGTAATAGCCGTGTTTGGAGACTAGCAGGCATAGGTATGACGATGCCTGACAGTTGGGATGTTCATATCAAACCCCACATTAACTTAAAATCGGCAAGCAATACCCGTGACACACGCCCACATCAACTGGCATCTACAAACGATGCCAGTCCCAACAGCCTGCCACAACTTCACTGCTCACCCTAGCGCACAGGAAGTCGCCCATCCTCACACCACCGCCTCAACAACCTCTAATTAGGGCAGGCCATGAGATCGCTTCGGTCTGGTCCTCAAGTCGTCTCGGTTTATGGTAAGCAAAGGTTTGGTAAGTAGCTTGAGTTGCGTGCTTCTAGGATAGTGTCTCCAAATGGGCTCACTGCATGAGTCGGGATATGGGATTGGGACTAGTTGTTTCACTTATAGAGTTTTTCCCCGCCCAACTCATGCTGTGCGTGGGAGGCCATGCAGGCCAGCCCCTTCCCCACCCGTTGGTGGCAGCACGATTACTTGACGCGCTTTAGGGTGTACAAGAATTACGGGGAGGGTGAAATTAGGAAGCTGAGGCCCCTTCCCCTGCCACAGCCTTGATAAGGATCCCCATGAGGACCCCCAAACCGGTACCCTTCCTAGTAGTGCAAGCGGTGAACTAGTATAGCTGACACGACAACCCTAGGTGGCAGTACGATACTGTATTGCCCAACATTATTTTGACATGCCTTTGGAGGTCTATTTTCCAGCCCCATTTGACAAAGCGGAAATTATTTATGCCCCATTTGACTTCCTGGTGGCGAATTTCTAGCCCCATTTGACATGCGCCAAAACGCCCCAGTAGCCACTGTACGTGTTGGATGAAACATGGTAGGAAAGGAGCTGTTCAGCTGTATGCCACTGTGCAGCCCTAAGAGGATAAGCGGAACACCGTTTGGAAACCTCGACTGGGCATGGCACGGTGAGGGTCCAGCGCACTGGCAAGACAGTTGCCCCCCCACCTCTCCGTTCCCATCTAAGTTACCCTGCAGTCACATATTTTGCCCCCATTTGACACCTTGCCAGCGAATTTCCAGCCCCATTTGACATGGCGAAAAAACATTTTTGCCCCATTTGACAAAACCCAAAACATTTTATTTTTGTCAATTAAATTTTGGGCAATACGGTAACAACCTAACTGTAGCCTCGCTCAGGCTGAGGGGGCGCACTGCCCCCCCCCCCGTAACCCCTCGCTCCCCCATCCGCTAATCCTCACTAGTTTTATTGCATCCAGCCGCCCCATATCCCCTTTCCGTTGCCCTTACTGAGGTTGCCCTTTCGCTGTAAATGAACAGCGAATTATGATAAGACTTAAATGCGGTGATGGCGTTCATTTTACCCGTCTAGGTGCCTCATCACCCTCCGGCTCACCAATAACCATAGCCATCCAGTGTCCCCCATCCCCCTCCCCCCTAGAAACCCATGGTGAAGCCCCATCATACAGCTCGTGAGTTTTCCCTTCTTACCCTCCCACCCGCCCCACCCTTCCTAGGGAGTGCATATCCCCCAGCTAGCCGTTACTTGATCCCCATGGGATGAGGTAGCGTAGCTGTCAAGGCACGCGCAAGCGCCCCTCTTTTTCTATTATCACCATCGACTGCCGCGTACTATGTGCCCTAACGTTTGCTTTATACCATGATTGCTGCAAGACCCTGTGTTGTTGCTGTACAATACACCTCAAATTGCCTAAGAAACATAACGGGCCAAGGGCGAAGTTACCAGACTACCCTGTTGACAAGATAAGATATACCGTACGACCGGTAAAGCTTTTGTTATCTTTTTTGAAAGTGAAAGGAATTTTCTGTAATTGTTTGGCGCCAAAATGTTTTCCAGGGCGGCGCTGGAGTTTTGGCAAATGCTTTTAAGCTTTTTCTGCCGGAATCAGACAAAGGGTTAACCTGCTCCTGTCTTTAGCAACACTGCAATCCCAGAGAACGCCGTCGAGCATAGATACCGATACCGCCATCCAACGTACTGGTACCAGTAGTCCTTCTTGCCAGTGTCATCCAACACCGTCACCAGGACACAAGTCTGCCTTGACCCTCTCCTGTTCATGCTCTCTACACCGCCCCCGCTGTTCCATATCCTATCATCCTAGAACAAGCGCCAGGCTAGCATTTTTTTATGGAAAACACCGTTTGTGACCGTTACAAGGTACGGGAATTTTTCCAGGGCACTTGAAGTTTTTCTGGGATGCCGTAGGATTTCCCGGACCAACTTTCCTGACGGCAAGTATTTGTAATCAAAGAGACAATATCGGTCGTATGGTAATAGACAATAGTGCTATTTCCGAAGTTCATGTTTGAGGCAGCCGACGGGGGCAGCAGCCTAAACGCAAGGGGGACAAGGGGCTAAGCATGCAGCAGGGACGTAGAGAACAAGGTGCAGGGGCTCTAAGAGAAACCAAACTGTGAAATCACAAGTTAGGGCAAGGTTGAAGTGGGAGGGCATGCGGGCAGGCGTGCTGACGACACGCCCGTGGCTGAGGGATGAACCGCGGAACTCCCGCGCCGGGGCAGGGGGTATCATGCGTAGTTCTGCATCTGGTGCTGAGGGCGGTGAGGTGCAAGCCCAACCTGCTACACGGGGGAGGGGGCGCAGCCGTACCTATGGCGGGGTCGTGTGAGGCACGCAGTGGCAAGTGGGCTTGAGCATACTAGCCAACGCAACCGTGCACTTAGGCATTGCAGCAACGCATGCGAAGCTACAAAGTGAGATGCATTATGTTTAGCAGCCTGCCTGCTGGGCCCTCCCCCTGTGTGGCGAGCGTGCCGGACATGTTGACAAATGGTATGTCTATCGAGAGAATGATATAGATCATGTGAATTGGAGTCAAATTGGGATGTATACAGCGTTGTCGTGCAGAAAAAATGGTACGACAGGGTGGGTGGGTGAGTCCGGTACCCCTTCCTTGACTTTCTAACATAGGGTTTGGCAAAGACGTTTTTACGCCCCCTGCTTTGCACATAATATAATTGACAACAATTTAATTGTCAATTGGCACTGAGAGGTTGCTTCGTTGGCAACATGGCAAGGTGTCAGGGGCGTAAAAGCCGGGGACCCAGAATTCCCACCAGGCCATGATTAAAAGGTGTCTTTTGGTGCATTTGACGCATGTCAAATGGGGCCAGAATATCACCAACAGTAGGCCAGATAAGGGAAGAAAAATGGGTCCATGATCACCTAGGGCTTGGAAACGCATGTCATTTAGATTAAGGGCAAGCACAAATTTGTCCTCGCCGTGCCTCATATCTAGCAAGCACGCGCATATCGTCTGTTGTCGCATCCCCTTAACAGGAATCCTAACTGTCGCTGCCATGCCACCTTTCTTGCCCATGCCCATGTCATGCCCGCGGCTGCTCTGCTGCGCCAGATGGCCGAGGCGGAGATGCGCGCAGCTGTCATGAGGGAGGAGAACGTGGACCTCACACAGCAGGTTACAAGCCTAGCGGTACGGCACATGTCAAACTTGGCGTGTTTATTGGCATGATGAGGGATATGCGCGCGGCGTGCCATTAACATTTGCTTTTGTCCTGCGCATCACTCCACGCCTCCCTGACACTTTCGCTTGCCCCCGTGACCTGTGCGTACCCAGGCCGAGTTGGAGCAGGCTCGGCGCGCTGCTGCCTCCAACGCCGGCCTGGAGCAGCAAGTGGCTCACCTGCAGGTGCGTAGAAAAGTGGTGGAACGGTCATAGCCGGCAGGTCTCGACCACAACCGCCTTCCGATGTCCTCGTGGCGGTTGCGGTTGCGCAAGCTCCATTCTTTGCCGCACCTACACCCGTCCATTCACGCTGCCCTCCGTTTCCATGATGACCACCACGCTTTATTGCGCCTCCATAAGCGCCTTTCCCGTGTCCCTGCCGGCCGCCTCAGGAGGAGCTTTCCGCCGCACAAAGCATCGCGGCTGAGGTGGAGGCGCTCCAGCAGCAGCTGGCTGAACGTGACCGACAGCTGAAGGAGTCCGCGCGTGCCGCAGCAGCCCGCCTGCAGGCCACCGTCGCCACCCCAGAACCCAGCGACGGAGAGGTTGAGTACGGTGGTTGTGTCATTGGTAGCAGCGGCGCCTCGCCTGCTCCCAAGGGCAGTGCGCCACCAACACCCAAGCGAGCCCGCGCCGCCACTGCCAGGAGCAGCCCGCGACGGGGTTCGCTGAAGAGGGTCGACCCGGTTGCTGGCAGTTCCGCCGAGGCAGCATCGGCGACGGAGGCGCCAGCAGAGGCGGTCGAGGCGCCCAATCAGACGCACCGCACCATGGCCAAGAGCACGGCACGACCACATCTGGTTGCGATGGCGCTTGTGGAGGTCGCAACCTCCGCAGAGGCTCTTGCCGCTATGGAGGGCACTGCGGCACTTGCTGCAGCTGGCAAGGTTAGCCGCCGGATGGAGGCTCCGGCTGAGGCGAAGGCGGGAGCGGAGGCAGAAGCGCCGAAGCGGAGGGGCCGCCTGAGCAGGAAAGTGGCGGAAGTGTCTGACACGGCGTGAGGTGCTGGGCATTAGACGTGAAGTTCTCGGTTTCAGCCCGAGGGTCGATGCTATGTACGCTTATGTGAACACCGGGCCACCACCTTTGGGCGATGAGGGGCCCGAGAATTGAACATGTGCGTGGTGGGGAGAGAGGGATTATGGCTTATCAGACCCGGCTAGAGGTCCATGGCATTGTCTGGCATCGGTTTTTTGGCCTGCCCGCTCCGCTAGGTCGCTAGGGCGTTGGGAATGAGAAAAACCTCCTATTTAGGAAACATCATGCTTGAAGCCAGAGTAGCGTGTATACTGTTGCATACTGTTGCTTTGTGTGATGAACGGTACCACGAGAAGTGTTTATTAAAGGTCGCAGACAAGGGAGAGTTTGTAACCTACTTCCAAACCTACTGTTTGTGTTGTTACGACTGACATTGTAAACACCACACAAAAGCCATTGTGGTCACAGATAATCTGGCGCCTGTTTGTGAAGGGTGTGTCGTACATCCACGTGCCCTGGTTATGTATGGACTTTAGTATGCCAATGGCTAACGCTATGAATTGCATGTTGTTAAAGGCTGAAGTTTCGAGCCTAACCAGAAGGGAGCCTTTGGTGCCTTTCTATGAGTGCAAACATCACGGGTGTGATGGCAAGCGTTGTTCACTTGCCTCAACAATAGCAGTGTTCATGAAAAGGTCACATATGTCGAATCATGGTGAAAGTGCTTTGTGAAACAGCAAACAGTTTGGCGAGTGTCGTACCCTAGTGTTATGATGCTTGGCCAAAAAGCATGAGCTGTCGCGTCCTCGGTTACGTTCAGCTCTCTAAGTTTTAAGTCATGCGCATTGGTGGGGTTTACTTACAGATCCGACCGCCAGCAACATTTGTCGCCAGCAGGGGTGCTGCATGTCCTACGTTCTTGCTGTGCAATACGCCAATACCCCTTGCACTGCCTAAAGAAAAAAACACTTTGCCCATGGGGGGTAGTTTCGCCGAAGAATGACCCCATGCTTCAATATTATAGATATCGGCGAGAGCTTTCCAAAGCCGCTTTCAAATTTGTAAATGGAGCCGTACGAAAAATGGGCTCTCAAATTAGGTCGTACGGCAGGGGTGGGTAAAGAGGAAACAACTAACTGGCTGTGTGATAAGGCGTCAGGGGTGGGTAGGTGGGTCCAGAGCCCCAGCGACTTTTCCTTTAATCTTTGAAACTTATTTCCTAGGTATTGTTTTGCCAAACGAAAAGCAGATTAGGACACCTGTTGTAATGAATGCAATGTGCGCTAGTATTCGAACCGTTGTGTGGAGTTTGCGGGTGGCAGTGTCCCTATGGCTCTAGCTGGCCCAACATACACAGTGGTCTTTAGGAAGCGGGTGTTACACTGGGGGACAGTAGCTGAGACCATCGCCAGACGTACATTCTAACAGGGCGTCGATTGCCCTACCCCAGGGGGCACGCCGTGCACAAGGCAGGGAACCGTGCCAAACAGATACAGGGACAGGCAACTAGGTCCCAGAGAAACAACTCAAGAGAGGCTGTCAAACTAGCTCCCCAAAACCCGATGTGCAGGTACTGCCAACCTAGCAACCAGGGTCCCAGAGAAATGCGACTCACAGATGCCGCCAAACCAGCACCAGAAAGATCGCGGCCCGCAACCACGGAATCCGAAACGAAACTGTCACGGAGAAGAGTGCAGCAAGCCACCAAGGCATACCAAGTGACATCTGCGCATCAGGCCGACCAAACAGTGGCATGCCGACAGCCACCCAGCAGCGCCAGACCCAAGCCTGATGACTTAGCACAAAGGCTAAAGCCCTCCTTAAAGAAAGCACGCGCGATACCAACGGCTCCCAGTGCCACTGGGGGAAGACCTTTTTCGTTAAAAGGTTTCCTGACGCCGCACAAGCCCAACAGTAAGGACCTAAGGGATAGCGCGCTGTAGGGCAGGCTAAACTGCGGGAATGCGCTCCAGAGCGGTCCAAAGGAGGTCATCATGCTGGAACGCCACAATCACGCCAGAGCGCCTCGCCAACGCCAGCAAGCCCAGCAGCTCACATCCTGTAGACCATATCCAGAATTCAGAACCATGGTGTAGGCCGCGCCAGAAATTGGGCCATGGATGACGGGCGAGCAGAGCTCAAGCCCAATCAGAAAGCCCGTTAGTGGGAATAGCGCGAATGTACGGTAGAGCGCATAAACTTTTGGCACACCAAGGCGCCTGGCACGTGAAATGCGGGTGCAATGGGGACGGAAGCTGACCATTGTTGTTAAGGGCCAAACCGCCGCGTCGAAGGATGCAGGAAGACGGAGGGACCGTACTAACTGCAGACTGGACGGCGGAATACGGAGGGACCGCAATTGTGTGGGACGCCGCATGTTGTAAACGGGCCGCAGCGACAGAAACTTACATGGCGAAAACAGTGAAGAACATATCAAAATTATGTTGTTATTCCCCATCCGCTACCCGCCTGCCCACTCACAAACCCTTTCCTGAGTAGTAATATTACGGAACAAGGGGGTTCAGATTTCTCAAAGCTGGAAAAGGGCTTCCTCTTCAGTACAGGAACCTCGTATTAGTACCACTGGAATGGCACGGCGTGCGCTCCTGTGACCCCACGACACCAGTTGACCTAACACACGTTGTTACGCGGACGCTGAACCCCCTCGTTTAATGTAGTTCGGTGCATGGCTATCTATAGTTATCCAACGTCCCCCCCTCCCCCCTCACTGCACTCACTGCATGAGTCGGGATATGGGATTGGGACTTTAGTTGTTTGCATTTCTTATATAATTTTTCTCCCACCTGCCCAACATGCATAGCATTCAACACCATTACTAATTTCACATCACTACTATTTTGCAAATTTCCACCCATTCTTCCTTCCCAATGCCGCGCCGCCGTGTCCATAGGAAACCCTACCACGCCATATTCGCACGCCTTCGTTTCCAGTCTCGCCTCATCAATACTACTCACCTCCGCATTAACGCGCCCTGCTTCCGGTTTTTCCCTATTATGTCCGCATATTGACAACCTCTTGCTACTGGACACTGGACACGACCCTGGTGCGGCTCTGTTGGTCTGCGTCTCCAATCCTTATGACCATGTTCTCGTGGGTTCACTCTCCAGGTAAGTTTCTCGTAACGTGTATGCTTGTATACCCAATATCCTTGTTGCCTTGGAATTCGCGACCGGCGGCGCGGCACATGTCTCACTAATGTTACTACGCAAGGCGGCTTTTTTGGCGGCTTTTTTGGCCTGCCCTTGATTCTAGGCGCTCCGCTAGGCCGCGCCGTGTAAGCAAGGGAAAGCCTTAGGGAATCCCCCGGACTTATGGTCCTCAGCAAATTTCCTGCTTAGGCAACATCGCGCACGAAGTCGAAACATTGAAAATTATATTTTGGCGTTCAGCAAAAATGTGGTTTTGGAGCGCCTTAAGCCCTCATCAGGTCGATGTACGGCGTTCCTGGTTGACTGTTTGCTGCTGGGGTTGACTTGTTTACTTGCTTCTTAACTTTTATGTGGTTGTTACCGTCTACTTGCTTGGTATTTGGGGGCGCAGCTAATTGACCTTAGGTGCCTTCGTGAGAATTTTGTTTAGCAAAGCACCTAGCTCTACATCATCCAGCCCTGTCATGCACCTCTCATGGCAGCGTACAGGGCCTCCCATAACAACACAGAGACGGGAATTCCCAAGCGGCTGGGGCCCGTCCAAATAAGTCAACGCGCTTCCGCAGTCACCCGGTAGCCATGCAGCAGCGGCTATTACGCGACGCATATCGTCCGCCGCAGCATTAAGTATTATACTTACACGGACGTTATGGCTCGCGCAGCCTTATGGGCAAATGCCGAGAAACGGGAAGCCATGCCATTGGCTCAGCTTCAGAACCACAGCCGCGCCAACCAGGCCTTGCAGTCACTGCTGCTTGCTCTAACCAAGGACAATGAAACACAGTTTGTGGCGGGCTCGCAACTGTGATTAACGGAACGCTTCACGACCTTTGCCCCTCGGCGCTTGTGGAGAGCGAAAGCAAAGGTGAGTCCCGTCCTCCGGTCGACAGAGGCTGTAGGCACCGCGAGAAGGGCCCACCCAACTGCGCGCGGCGTAAGGGGTGTTAAGTACCCGTAAGGGCACTGTGCCGCGCGACGTTGATAACCCTTCCGTCGGGGGAATGAGGCGTAGGTACCGCGAGAAGGGCCCCTTGTCCGCGGGACAAGGTTGTGTTGCGCGCTTGCCGTGGCGTAGGTACCGCGAGAAGGGCCCCTTGTCCGCGGGACAAGGTTGTGTTGCGCGCTTGCCGTGGCGTAGGTACCGCGAGAAGGGCCCCTTGTCCGCGGGACAAGGTTGTGTTGCGCGCTTGCCGTGGCGTAGGTACCGCGAGAAGGGCCCCTTGTCCGCGGGACAAGGTTGTGTTGCGCGCTTGCCGTGGCATGTTTTGTCGCCTGTCTGCAGGCCTGTACTTAGGTCTTGTTGTCACCTGTTGTGGACCACCCCGGCGCGCGGGGCACTCCGTTCTGCTGCAGGGGCTGCCGACCATATCGGCAGCCATGGCGGGCCGTGCGCGGCACGGCCCCTCCGCTATACGCTGCCCCCCTTCCCGAGATCCCCCCGCAGACGGAGTACAGGCCAACGTGCCGGCGGAAGCGGGCTGTGGGACCCAACGGCCCCTGCTGGAGCGATGGTGTCGTGTGAAGGGGCAGGGAGCGCTCACGCCGCCGGTGTAGTGGCCGCTGTGCGTCTGCCGCCAAGCCTTCAGCTGCAGCACCCCTAGCAGCAGCACCCTCGCTGCCGACTCCATCGTCTCCATGCAGGCCTGCGGCGTCCAGCAGCACCTCACCTCCCAGCTGCTGCTGCTGCTGTTGATGATGATAGCTATGTCGCGGTGCAGGGCGGAGGTAGGGATCCGTCGTGCGATGGCGGGTACTTCGCATGCGCTGCTGCTGCTGCTGCTGATCCTCCAGTGCGGTGGAGGGCGGCAGGCGCGCAGCCAGCCGAGAAGGCACGCCACCGTACGACGGCCGGCCATGCGCCTGGAGGTGCATGACGTCAGCAGCATCAGCGTCATCGTCATCAACAGCATCAGCGTCAGCAAGGGGGTATGCCAGCGTCACCGGGTAGCTGCCGTACATTCGCCCGGAAGAGCTGTCGTACAACGGAACGAGCCTGTGCCTCTGCGGCGGAGGTGGTCGTCGTAGCTGCTGCTGCTGTGCTGCAGATAACGGTGGCAGAGGGTACTGAAGCGCATTCCCGCCAGGCTCATGCTGCAACACCTCCACTTCTTGGTCGAGCTGCTCCTCGTTGTCATCATCATTGTTATTAGCAGCAGCAGCTGCTGCTGCAGCATCGCCCCACAGCTCCTCCGCCATCAGCGGCCGCTCAGCCTGCTGCTGCTGCAGCAGCAGCAGCTCCTCTTCAGTTGGCCGCAGCCCGCGACTGCCGTACAATGAGCCCTCTGCCGACTTGCCATGGACTCGCCCGCTACCCGCCGCAGCAGCGATCTGTCTTGTTGCCCAGTCGTTCATCTCGCCAGCAGGGCTGCGAAGCAATGCTCTAATGCTGACATTGCCACCACCAACACCGGCGGCAGCAACACCGGCGGCCCCCAGGTGACCCAGGTCCGCCAGTTCTACCTCTCTGCCGCCTCCTGCGCCCAACCAGCGGCTGTTGTTGGACTGCCGCCGGCTGCTGCCAGCGGCCCCGGCAGCAGCAGCAGCAGCAAGAGGAGCCCCTGCAGGGTTGCTGCTGCCCAGGTCGGCAAAAAGGGCCTCCCGGCCCAGCTCACCCGGCAGCCCCGCACCGCTCCTGCGGCTGTCGAGCCCTACGTGGCCTGAAACACGCCTACCAGGACGGAGCAGCTCGGAGCCGGCAGCAGCATGAGCAGCTGTAGAAGCGGTCACAGGTCCTCCGTCAGCATCAGTCACAGGTAGGCGCAAGTTGGGAATGCGTCCGTCCGGAAGGCTGACATTCCTGCGGTGGAGGCTGACTGCACCACGGCTGGCGGTGCCTGTGATGGCGTCTGGCACGCTGTAACCGTGAGGAAGGCCGCCGCGTGCGCCCCGGTGGCCCAGATGCGTCACACGCAGGTGCTGCTGCGGCTCGCTGGCGGCGCCGACCAGCTCATCAATGGAACCATGCATGCCGTAGAGATTCCCACAGCTCGCGCTTCCGTGTACACTGCTTGGATGATAATAGTAGGCGTTGTGGCTGATCTGACACACCCAAACTGTAAGCTCGAGGTGTTAGCTTGAACTCCAACACCGGCCGATGACCTACAGCAATGATTGCCGCAATACTTGATGACCCAGAACCTGCGCTAGTTTGCGGTATTTACGAGGAAATCAATAGTTACATCACGATACATAAATTTTGCGTATTGGACCAGCTTGGAACGTCAACTTCGGCCTTTGAAAGCGACGACCACAGTATGTATGAGCACCACGGCCCTGTGGTCCTGCCTTAAATTATTCTAATCATACTTGTAATCGGAGGGTATGCCGGTGAAAATAAACTTGTTAACAAAGAAGCCTAGAGGGGAAGGCGCGTCCACGCCGCGCCATATGGGATTTCCTAGGAGGCCACCGAAATATATGCTACACACAAAATGAAGCCGGGGCCAACATATACAATAAAAGCCTGTAAAGATTGGGCCGCCTACAATGAGCGTGGCGCACCTTACTGCTGTCGGCACTTCTGGTGCTTACGCTGATATATCTTCCTGGAAGACGGCTGCAATAACCCCTTTAGTTGTCAAAATTTGTGGGGCTGCAACTGGTATTTAAGCGCCTAGGAAAATTGGCAAGCGTAAAGGTCAAGCATGACCAACGGACGCTTGTGCAAGGCGTTTGAAAGCCCTGCGCTAGGTTGGATATATTACTTCGGGTATTTTGTAAAATCTTTTGCTGGCTGTTGCTATAACGGCTACCAAGCAGCTTGGGCACATTGTACGGCAGCAGCTATGTATACAGTATTTTTGGCAAATGCTTTTAAGCTTTTTCTGCCGGAATCAGACAAAGGGTTTACCTGCTCCTGTCTTTAGCAACACTGCAATCCCAGAGAACGCCGTCGAGCATAGATACCGATACCGCCATCCAACGTACTGGTACCAGTAGTCCTTCTTGCCAGTGTCATCCAACACCGTCACCAGGGCACAAGTCTGCCTTGACCCTCTCCTGTTCATGCTCTCTACACCGCCCCCGCTGTTCCATATCCTATCATCCTAGAACAAGCGCCAGGCTAGCATTTTTTTTATGGAAAACACCGTTTGTGACGTTACAAGGTACGGGAATTTTTCCAGGGCACTTGAAGTTTTTCTGGGATGCCGTAGGATTTCCCGGACCAACTTTCCTGACGGCAAGTATTTGTAATCAAAGAGACAATATCGGTCGTATGGTAATAGACAATAGTGCTATTTCCGAAGTTCATGTTTGAGGCAGCCGACGGGGGCAGCAGCCTAAACGCAAGGGGGACAAGGGGCTAAGCATGCAGCAGGGACGTAGAGAACAAGGTGCAGGGGCTCTAAGAGAAACCAAACTGTGAAATCACAAGTTAGGGCAAGGTTGCAGTGGGAGGGCATGCGGGCAGGCGTGCTGACGACACGCCCGTGGCTGAGGGATGAACCGCGGAACTCCCGCGCCGGGGCAGGGGGTATCATGCGTAGTTCTGCATCTGGTGCTGAGGGCGGTGAGGTGCAAGCCCAACCTGCTACACGGGGGAGGGGGCGCAGCCGTACCTATGGCGGGGTCGTGTGAGGCACGCAGTGGCAAGTGGGCTTGAGCATACTAGCCAACGCAACCGTGCACTTAGGCATTGCAGCAACGCATGTGAAGCTACAAAGTGAGATGCATTATGTTTAGCAGCCTGCCTGCTGGGCCCTCCCCCTGTGCGGCGAGCGTGCCGGACATGTTGACAAATGGTATGTCTATCGAGAGAATGATATAGATCATGTGAATTGGAGTCAAATTGGGATGTATACAGCGTTGTCGTGCAGAAAAAATGGTACGACAGGGTGGGTGGGTGAGTCCGGTACCCCTTCCTTGACTTTCTAACATAGGGTTTGGCAAAGACGTTTTTACGCCCCCTGCTTTGCACATAATATAATTGACAACAATTTAATTGTCAATTGGCACTGAGAGGTTGCTTCGTTGGCAACATGGCAAGGTGTCAGGGGCGTAAAAGCCGGGGACCCAGAATGCACTTCCTTTCCAGTAGCCTCGATCGTTTTTAATGCTTGCTTAAAGCCTGCTGATCTTCAGTACACCACCGGCAGCGTTTTTTGGGTGGTGGCGGACCAGACATCTACACTTCGTTAACAGCTGCTTCATTGGAGCCGCTACCAAGCCTTAATACTGTACCAATATTGGCATTGTAAATAAAGGTCCCTAGTTGCTTCTTGGTAACATTGGCAAATCGAGTGTCCTTGCTCAAGCTTTTTGCTAGGCGCTTGACAAGGTGCTTGACAGTAAGTTTCCATTCTCTACAGCTATACGTTCTGCAGCTTGTTGCAGCGCAAGCAGTTGGTCATCAGTCCAGCGGCGTTTGCCCATGCTGCTTCATAGCAACACATTAACAACATAAGTATTCTAACGGTACTGTGAAGGCTTCCTTGTGTATAACTACAACGACTATCCGTGATCAACAAGGGATGCCAAACAGCAACTGTAAAGCACGTGTACGACAGCCCCTTTCCGAACAGCAACGTTGCACCTAAACAACAGACAACAGGAAAACACGTAACGTAGTTGTTTCGAACATTCACTGATCCAAACCATAATACCAACCTCATTTCCATTACCCATAACAATGTTGTCTGCGCGTGATAACAACTGTTCTTCTAGGTTCCGTGGCTTGCACATAGCAATAGTTTGGAAACATTGTCAATGTTACGGCTTCGTGCGCGATGTTGCCTAAGTAGGAAATTTTGTAAGGACCTTAAGTCCCGGTATTCCCTATGGCTTTTCCCTTGCTTCCACGGCGCGGCCTATCGGAGCGCCTAGAACCAAGGGCAGGCCAAAAACGGGGCCGTACGCCTAGGTCGCTCCGGACCTGGGGGCAGGCCGGGCAGCGGCACCCATGCATGCAGCTCTGAGGTCTCCACCATAGTGTGTCAAATTATGTGTGAGTAAACATGTTGTGTTGTACCATATTATATGCGACAATGGAGCGTTGACCGACACATCATGCCCAGCCACATACAACTTGCTTCGTCCTATACTATGTGACATACCACACTTTGTGTTATCCCACATAGCGCGGAATACCAAAGAGACCGGCATTCAGAGTGCACGTGCAGCTTTGCGTACGTAGCATTGCAGGTGCGCTCTTGCTACAGCTAAGTCTATTATTGTTCCCCCCCCCCGAGGGTGTTATCATTTTTTGGAATCCAGTATTCGACTGCTCAACTTGCGCCAGTGAGGGAAATAGAACCACCGGTTGCCTTTATGCCGTGTCCTGTATACTTTGACGCGCTGGTGTAGTTAAGCCGGGCCCCAGCGGCTCCAAACGCGTTCGCCGCTCAATGGGCGGTTCGCCTCAGGTGCAAAAACGTACATGGCCCACCCCCCCGCCCTTACACTGAGCATAAGCCTAATGAGTGGCGCTTGCTTTGCGATGCCTGCTTGCATTTTGGCTAGTGGGTCCCTAACATGGTCGCCAACATTGCTGTCCCCAAGCCAACAGTTCCTTCAAAAGAGTACTTCTATAGGCAAAGCCTTTAAAGTTATTGTACTGCACGTGATTTTGTGACCCAGGAATATTGTCGTCACGACTTTCAGCGCAATGTGAACTGCATTTGCATGCTGCGCTCGCACGCCGCTGGTCCACTGTTCTCTGTCGGGCCCTCCCTTGACGGCTTGGCGCCAAGTAGACTGACAGAGAACCGCTAAGTAAAGCTTTTTCACCAGAGGCCGACTCAGGAGGTCTAGGCCAAGTATTGGGTGGCTATTTCTCGATCTATCTGCAAACTTTGCTCTCAATCTCTGTACACCGGCACCACCTAGCTGCCATTCTCAAGCCCAAACCGGAGGATTGCGCCGGGAATCCTCTAAAATTTAATAGTGGTCGAGTAGCTTGTTTGTATCAGCAAACGGCGAATCACATGGACACCCCGGCCCGCCCGAGAAAGGAGGATTTGGGTTATTCACCCATGTCCATAGGAAACGCGGTCTGTAATATTTATCCGAACTTTGTCGACTTACAAGGTTGGAGTTTGATATTGGGTTAAGGTAGTTGGCATGCGCGGCATGTGCCATGCTTGCGACAAAGGTACCGGTAACCAGCACGTCATGTTTCGCTACCTTGTAGACGGTCACCGATGTCGGGGATGGGCCAACCCACCTTCACCCTCACGGCTCCGCTTAGTGCGCCACACGGTGTTTTCAGGTTGTCAGTTGGAGGGGCCTCTAGGGTAGGGTCTGAGCCTGGTCCGGGTGGGGGTCCGGAAACCCGATTTGAGTTAATTGCAGTTCCTTATTGTAGTCGTCAAAAAAAGTATGGGAGTGCTTTTCCCGTCGCGAAATTCGACCTGGCTGGTGAGCAGCATACAACCGTGTTTTTTCAGGGTGTCAGTTGGAGGGGCCTTCAGGGCAGGGTATATGGCTGGTCCGGGTGGGGGTCCGGAAACCCGATTTGAGTTTATCGCAGTTCCTTATAGTAGTCGTTACCAGACCGAAGCGATCTCATGGCCTGCCCATGTGTTGTGTATAGTTGTGTATAGTAGTGTGTGTGGTCGGACTGCAGCGGTTCGGTCATGCTGTTAGGTACAGTTACAGATAGGGCTGCGTTGCATGTGTAATGACGGCGCGCTGAACAGCGGCAGTCGTTTCTCGCTTGTTACCATGACCAATACTGCGGTTGCCCAGCGACACGTTACCAGGTACCACTTGCAAGTCCACCCAGCTGTACCCCAATATTTCTTTCGCCAACGGCGTGTGATCCACCCTCCCAGTACAGGTACAGGTTCGGGCCCTTCCCCCCTTTGTCCTAGCTGTCAGTTGCCCGGTACCCGCAGCACCACCCCCGCCTAGTTGCATGTGCCCAACACCCATTCCATCAGCCGCTCAGGCGGGCCCTAGGATGTTGTGTGCATGCATTTAGGTGCTGTCATCGTCAGTGTCCTCCTCGCCGCCCTCCGAGGCAGAGCCACTTCCATCTGCATCCCCAACAACGGAACAACACCCAAATCAGGCGTTTCTTCAATGTTGTGCTTAGCGACTGTCAATTTCCGAAGACGGTAACGAAGTTGGTCGTATGAAGCTGCACTGCCTTTCAGCTCCTTTGCAATATTGCTAGCAGTCAGTTTATTGCTGGTCGACTGGATGGTAACAACCGCTTCCTGAAAGGCCGCCTCGTCAACAGCAGTCCATCTTAATCGCTTCTTTGGTGGAAGACTATTGTCGTTGGGAGAAGGGCGCATATACTGCTGCCCAACTTTGTTGCTATGTAGAAAGTTATTGGCAGATCTATAAGTCAAGTCAGTGCAATGTGGGTTACCACGAACTTCGTTCAACAAGACCTTAGCACTGAGTTTACTGCCGCGCGCAAGTATGGCCTCTGCGGCTGTACACAACGACTCTATTTGTTGTGCACTTCTACTCAATCGTCCCATTGTTTGGTATGCTTAAAGCCATAAGTGTCGGCGCAAACAAGTACTTGAAAGGTAAAGGTGCTATGATTACCGGTAAACACCAAGGGAAGGCTAGAAGGCTTTCAAGTTGTTAAGGCACGAAGGTCTTGAACTAATCAAAGCATACACGGCTTCTAGTGCGCTGGTGGCAAGGTACGACATTAGTCTCATTAACTCAATGCTTCTTGCTCTGTGCAAATGCCATATTGACATGTCCATAGTCAGCACTACAAGTATGCGTAAACGTTTGCTTCTGGGCAGGTTACC